ATACATAGTAACAGTTAGGTGGGTAAAACACGACCTCAGCACTACGGTGCATTATTAGGTGAGCGAAGCTCGACCTCAGCACTTTTTTGCAATATTTGACTCCTATACAGGGTTCCTCATAGATTGAGAATTGTGGGCAATAGTTGTGGATAAAAAGGTTTTATTATATTATGTTGTTTTGATGTTGGCCCTTTAAAAATGATATTAAATTTCACGCATGATTTGTATTGCACCGTTTATGGTTTTAAATTGCCTCACTAAGTTTATACTTAGCGTGTGGTGATTTTCACGCGTAGGTAAAAAGCTAGTGGAGGAATAAAGAGTTCAAGGAGACATCAAGCATCAAGAGTTTATTTCTATATCAGTAGGACATCCTAAGATGTAATGTAGACTTAATTAGTAGCATGTAATTATTAATGTTATAACAGTAATCACGTTTTAAGAAAAATTTCCAGAATACTTTTGGGGTTTCGATTCCCTACTAAGGGAACCGATTCCCCAACTGTTCATTGTACAATGTACACTATTCACCATTCACGGTACTATTCATAAAAAAACTTTTGAATTAAAATTGTTTAGAACAAAATATAAATTATATGGTTGGATATTTTTATAATATCAATTATCATTTTCAAGAAAATAAATTTTAAAGATTTTGAAATGATAAAATGTTTTTGAAATTCGGGTGACATTTATAATCTGTATAGGTATAATTATACGGGTTATGGGTGTTACAATGATCTTATTATGTGATTCTAGTTAAATCATGTCACTCACTCTAGCAATCATGAATGACGAATGATGGAGACACATAGTTGATTGATTTATAGTATTTGATATACCATAACTTAAGATATACTTTTATCAAAGCTATAAAATTTAGTAATTTAAGTCTTTAAATTTGTTACGAGACAGTTGATGCTACATTGATGACCTATATGCTTTGATATGATTTGCATGCTTATTATTTATGGATCTCTTGAAATATTAGAGAGTAGTTGCGTACTCACTGGCTTGTTAGCTCAATTTTCGAATTATTTCCATATCAAGTTGCAGTTTATAAGGATCGTGATGGGACAACGAAATCATTAGAGGGGTCTCCGTGGAAGTATAAGAGTACAATGAAGATTACTTGTACGGACATGTAGAGATTATGGTTGTTTATCATTATTTGGGTCTTATTATAAAAATATTTTTTTACTATCCTAGTTTATATATGATCTTTGAACAATGGAGCTCCGATTTTATATAATTACATGTTTTTGTATTTATTATAAAGTGCTCTAAAATCTTTGAGTAAATCATGTATTTTGAAATCTTGGAAGTTTTGGTTCACCTCAGTTACCCAATGTGATATCTTCAATTCGGGTACAGTTCTCGAGCTAGGTCTAAGGTGTTATACATAGCATCGGAGCCTACGTTCAACTAGCATTTTAAGTGCAGTATCACTAACTTAACCCATCCGGATGTCTAACCACACAAGATGATCATCATACATCTAACATAATTCAGGTGTCCTGATCATCACACAATGACTAGTTTATGTCGTCTTAATTTACATCGTTCTCTATATAATGATGTTTATTAGTTGTTCTCACTTGTAGTTTTATTAGAGAAGTCACAACGACTCTTAATTCTCTTCCTGAACACTTGAAATTAAATGGGGTTTATTACCCAATCTAAGACAAGGGTACCGATACTGAGTCTTTCAGTGTAAATATAGACTCTTGGGTACCGATACCCGCCCTGGTACCGATACCAAATTTAACAACTGGATTCTGAGAATAATAGGTAGTATCGATACTCCTAATTAGAATATGGATACATATCTATACTGGGGTATCGATACTAAAAATTACTTTGATGTTTTGAAATTTTCAAATACTACCTTAGGTGATTTTAGTTATGTGGTGGTTCCGAACATAATAAAATACCATTGTGATCATTATTTATTTATTGTTGCATAAGTTAATGTGATTATTTAGTGCCATTATTGGGATGCAATGGAAAGGACATGAAATTCAACTACTAGCTTTTGAATCATCTGCAATATCAACAAATTTCCAACCTTACAATGGAAGTTTTGTCTGCTTTTATATTAACTTTGGAACCAAATTCAGCTGCTGCTGTGTTTGCTGCAACAGGCTTTTATATTATACCAAATTCGCCAACTGTTGTGTCTGCTTTTGTATTATGTTTGGAACCAAATTCACCTAACCACTTTGTTTATTTACCATTTCCCCTTTTTATTCTTCTTCAAGGTCTGAATCTTGAGACGCTGCGTTTATTGTTTCAAGACGGGTGTCTTTTTCTCTTCCAGCTGATGCATGTTGGAAGTGAAACCAGACAAAAAAAGGTTGCGTTTTCAGACGAGGGCTTTTATTAGGAAATAACAGATTCAACTTTTGTAATGTATTCAATCCAGAATTTATTGCATCGCCTCCTATTTCAATTATTGTTCCTTTGGGACCCAGATAAGTTTGGTGTCCATTTGCCACGTGCCTTTGGGCACCAACAATGCCTACTTTTTATATTTTTCACACGTAATGAAGCCTTCACTATTAGGAATTACTTTGTAAAATATATTTATAATATTTGTTATACTTTGGAAGTGGCATTCGGAAATTTCTTAGAGCTCTTGATTGTTTTATATTTTCTATATACAGATTTCTAGTTAACTATAGCATATAAACAAGATCTTTAATAGATAAGTTAGTCCACATAATGGGAGGAGTAAAATTGGGTTAACCATACGATTTATCATTTAAATTTGTATTTTGTCTATTTTTCTTCATTTGGTTTTAAAAACATAATATATAATCATTTTTGTTTTTATTTAATTAAGGTGTGATCATCATGAATTAATTACCGTTAAATATTTTGATATAATCACATATTTTATCCATATTATTTACATATTCTCTCAATTTAGTCTTACTTTTAATAAATTTAATAATCCAATCAAATGATGCAATGTGCCACTGATAATACACGTCGTGCCATGTGTCACCATTCGGTTGGAGGATTAACTTTATTTTAATTTATTTTATTTGAATATATTTTTATTTTAATGTAAGATTAACTTTATTTTAATAAATTAAATATATTAAATTAAAATAAATTTAGTTCTCCAACCATATGGTGACATGTGATACCAGTGACACGTGGGATCATTCGATTAGAAGATTTAATTTATTTTAATTTATTAAAAGTAAGACTAAATTGAGAGAATACGTAAATAATAAGGACCTAATATATGATTATACCAAAATACCATGTCACCTAATTTGTTAACTGATAGCGATAGTTAACTCGTGGTGACTACACCTTAATTAAATAAAAACCAAAGTGACTATATCTTAAATAAATAAAAACAGAAGTGATCATATACTATATTTTTTGAAATCAATAAGGAAAAGTGAACAAAAACACAAACATAATTAATAAATCATATAGATAACCCAATAAAATTTAAAGTTTGATAATTATATTTGTCTAATGTAATCAACCTACAAATAATTATCATGATTCTACGATTGACACACATTAAAAGTCATCATAAATAATTTCAGACGAGACTAGAAAAAGAGATAGAGCAACCGTAATTGACTAACCATCTTCCTTTAAATATTGATCCATGTCATCATTTTTACCGATTGCAGTTTTTTGTCTCAATTAGAAAAGGTAACCCATTCAAATAGGCTTATCTTATTTTCATCAATAATATTATATTTTTAAGAATGATATTGACAACATATTTTAGATTTTAATGTCATATGTCATCTGCCTTTGAGACCAAGAATGCCATTTGTTTTTACTTCATACAGAATGAAGCAGGTTGTGAAAATGATTAGAAAATGAAACGATGAGGAGCTAACTTAATTGTTTGATATTATGTTAAGAAAATTATTTTTGTAATTCGTTTAGTAAGGAATTAAAATTGAATATATATATATTATAGATATGGAGATTCTTGTAAGCTTATAAATTTTAATATTGGTACATTCATGTGTATATATTTAGATAATATAATGAATTTTTTCATCTAAAATTTAATATTCGCACATTTTTATATATGCAATAATTTTTTAGAATTAATGTGGACTTAATGTACATTTTAACATATGACTTATTGTATGGCTTATAAAATAATGGGTGATAAATTTATTTTCTTCTACTTGCAACTTTTCTTATAGATAATTGTTTTCAATCTGCTTGTAATCCTCGTGAGATGTCAACCAGTCAGCTTCTTGGCTCGTGCCCCTTCTTCCTCGGTATGGTCACGTGGTGTCTGCTTCGAACCACCGCCCTTACCTGCTGACATGTCTCCCAAATCTAACTCTTACATCCCACGTAGACTCGGACAACCGTTTATTGTCGAACCTACCAACCATAAAGAAACAAAATCAGAGCAGTTGAAAAAAATAGCAGTAAAGAATAAAACCGAACTAATAAAATAATCACAACAACAATGATAATGATATATATATATATATATATATGATTAAATTCTAGAGGTGATCACTAAGGTATGGTAAAAAGTTACTTTGATACGTTTTATTTTAATCAAATATGTCAGTCAACTATTTAGATGATTCATTCAAATCATTCTCCGTTAATTTTTAAAGATGATGATGATGTGCCAGTTAGACAATTGGGATAATTATACATTTTTTTCTCAATATTTACGCATTCTATAATTTAATTCTAATTTTAATTTAATTTAAAAATTATCATTCTAGTTTAAAAGAGTCACTTATCACATATTATTGTGCACATTTTCAAGTGACACATTATGATTGAAGAATTATTTTTAATTAATTTTAATTTAATAAATTTATCTATAAACATGTCACCACCTGCATTTTATTTTCATAATTTAATATATATATATATATATATATATATATATATGAAATAATCTAAAATCATGAAATAATCTAAAATCATGAAAAAGTAAAACCCAATTATCAAGAATCGAAATCCGAGTCTTCTGTCTTTCTTTCTGTTTGGTCCTTTGCTTCTTTTTCTTTTTTACTATATATTTTGAATGTGTGTGTATAATCTTTGATTACTTATACTTTCGCCATTAAAAGCTTTTACTGTTTGTGTCCCACGAAAATCCCACCTTCGCCAACCCAAAAATCTTCTCTTTTTGTTCTTATTTAAGCTCTCTATTTGCTTTACTGGGAAACTCGAGTTTTTTCAATGGGTAAACAAGGAAGAAGAAAGATGGTTTGTTATGCTCTGTTTTTGGTTGCTCTGTTTCAGTGCAAATTCTGGGCTGTTGCGATTTTAGACCCACTTGATTTTCTGGCTTTACAGTCAATTAGAAAGTCTCTACATGATTTGCCCGGCTCTACTTTCTTTGCTTCATGGGATTTCACCTCTGAACCTTGTAACTTCGCCGGAGTTTACTGCGATTCCGATAGAGTTGTAGCTCTTAATCTGGGTGACCTGCGTGCCGGTTCTCCGGGTTTAACAGGAAAAATCGACGTTGCCATTGGTAAATTATCTGCTCTTGCTGAGTTTTCTATTGTTCCGGGTCGGATATATGGACCGTTGCCGCCCTCAATTTCGCACTTGAAGAAGCTTCGGTTTTTAGCGATCAGCCGGAATTTTATCTCCCGGAATATTTCGGCGACTCTGGGCCAACTGATAAGTCTTAAAACGCTTGATCTCAGCTACAATCAGTTAACCGGAGAAATACCTCGATCCATCGGAACGCTACCGGAGCTCAGCAACGTTATTCTCTGTCACAACCACCTCTCTGGTTCGGTCCCTCCATTTCTTTCCCGAGTCTTAACCCGGTTGGACCTCAAACACAATGCACTCACCGGTTCGCTCGCTCCGGACTCCCTCCCTCCTTCGCTCCAGTCCCTCTCCCTCTCATGGAACCAACTGTCCGGACCGGTTGACAGGCTTCTATCCCGGCTCGACCAGTTAAGCTTCCTAGATTTGAGTTTGAACAAGTTCACCGGTCCCATTCCCTGCCGGCTGTTCTCATTTCCAATTACGAACCTCCAGTTGGAAAGAAACTTATTCTCCGGTTCCGTCCAACCCGCCGATCAAGTGACAATCTCGACCGTTGATCTAAGTCACAACAGGCTATCGGGCCAGATATCACCAATGTTCTCCACCGTACAGAATCTTTACCTGAACAACAACCGTTTCACTGGTAAGGTCCCGGCCGGTATTGTGGGCCGGTTACTATCCGGCAACATACAAATATTATATTTGCAGCATAACTATTTGACGGGGATGGAGATTAAATCGGCGGATGAGATTCCTATAAGCAGTTCGCTGTGTCTACAGTATAATTGCATGGTGCCGCTCGTACAGACGCCATGCCCGTTCAAGGCCGGCAACGAGAAGACCAGGCCTACCGCCCAGTGTAATGAATGGAAAGGGTAGATTCGTAACTTTCACGAACTTGTGAGGGGCACTTCGGAAAGAATTTTATACATAAGGGGAAAAATTGAGAATTTTGGGTTCATTTATTTATTTGGTTTTCATTTTATTTTATGCCTTTTTGATACTAAAGTGTATTTGTTAGTGTTTTCTTGTGGTTTTAATATGTTCTTAATGATCAAACATAATAATATTAATATATATTATTAGATTATGCTATGAATTATAAACTATTACAATTGTTGCACATAAAATTATAAGATGCAGGAGCAAATATATTTAGTTGATGGTCAAATTGTTTTATGTTCTTTTAGTTCATGATTTAGTGTATTCTCCTTCTCCTTTGTCTTTGGGTTTTTCTCCTTTAAATAAGATTAAGTTTAGATTTCTATTTTATAAAATATATATATATATAACATGTGAACACTTCATCATATATATATATATATATATGCATATCACTTCATTATTTATCACATAATATATATACCACTATAACTTCAGATATATAAAACTTTTTATGTTAGTGGTAAATATTAACAACTAGTTAATTAATAGTGTTCATCCAACTATGAGTTATATGTCTTAAAATAAAATGTTGAGATTAAATTGTTTAAAATATAAGGACTAAAGTAATTATTTTATCAAATGTTAGAATATTTCTTTACACTATATCTATAATCAAAAGAAAATAAATTCTAACCATCACCAGTCAGTTTAGTGAGATAAGGTATTATATTTCTTAAGTAATGTCAGGAGTTCGAATTCTAACGTTTGTGAATGGAGTAAATTAGGCTAAGAGGGTCACCCCATAATAAATCTATGCAAAACTAGATCTTGAATAGTCGATTGATGTATATGATACAAATAATTAAACTAAAAGAACCGTAAATATAAACTTATTAAAAACATTATTTGATAAGTAATAATTATAAAAAAAATTACTGTATTTATATCAACAAATTTAAATCTAAATAATAAATATAACAATCAATATAAATAAATTATATTTAGACAGATATTGCATTAATAACACTTTTTCTAGTAAGCATCTCTTTCTACCAAATCAAAAGAGTTGTCATTTATAACAAGATATTATTTATGACTCGCATCTCATAAACTAATGAATATAAATATTTTATTTAAGATGATACCCTTTTCATCAACCTTTAGCTATTAAAATTGCTTTTCTAATATATTTGCTATTTATATAAACTATAAGAATATTCTAGAGTGAAGACATCAATCTTTTTCAAGGAGTAGGCACACCAATTGATAGTAAATGCAATGAAATTGTTGTGATATATGTCTCATTGTTACTATTATGACAATTATGATCATGTTTTTCATTTTCTTTTATGGGGTATTGATGTGAACATTATCGGTAAGGTCCATAATTGGGGAGTGCTTCCCTACCTATAATTGGTATTTGATTATTAGTTGACATATGGTTGAAATAAATTGTTGTGTTAGACTCGTTAGCCTGATTAGTTAAATTAAATAAATCATATCATAAAATTTTTAAATCGAATTACATAATATTAATTATAGTCTATAATCAACACGAATCAAACGATTTCAATGGTTAAAGAATTGTTATTATTCATTGAAGTATCGGGTTCGAACATCACATATAAGAGGTATGAACGTTCAATATCAAATTATTGAGAGTCCTTAAACATATACTATCTTAAATTCACCTTAGTTTAAACATATACTATCTTATATTGAGAGTCCTCAACTTGCCAAAATAGGAGCCCTTGGTTGTTTATTACATGAACCCTCATATTTAAGGTGGCCTAATGATTTCTCAACCACACGAGAGAGAGCTCATGGAAATATAAAAGGAATAGTGATAACAATGATGGAAAATGTTGCCTTGCAAACACAAATAAATTGAGTATCCATTGCTGGATTGTTGCTTTCAAAGAGAACTCTCTTTCCTTTCCCCCCCCCCTACGTGTGCAAAAAAGAAAAAAAGTTTTAAAATGCTAAAAATATGGTCATTGGGTTTTAATTAAGGTAGCTAACAAATAATCCATAATGGTACTAGACAATATTTTGGTAATGTGTTATGTTGTTTTATCGGTGATACACAACTGAGTTGATAAGCAACAAAATTGTATGTTCTCACATTTTGCAAAATGGTGGAATATTTGCATATATGAAATTATTGTTATTTATTATACAATAATAATAATAAATCTTAATTTTAAAATAATAATATGCATTAAAATATTAAAAATATAATTATTTGTACAATTACATTAATTCTTATCTTTCTTCTAAATATAAATTAATATATTTAGACACCTTCAATTCTACTGAGGCATATCAACCAAATTCTGAGAGACTCGTAAATTATAATCGTTGTCCAAACACATCACAACTGTATAATTACTTATAGTAAATCTTAATTCTAAGAATTAGTCGATCGTAATTTTTCTATAATTAACTAGGAGTTATATTTTTCAGTTTTATAATTAATAGGGGTGTTCAAAGTTCAGTTAAAATCGATTTAATCAATCGAATCAAAGTTTTTTTTATGAATCGATCAGTTAATTTTAGGTTCAGACATTTAACAGTTAATGATTCTTTCAAACTCTGGTTGTTGGTTAATTCAGTTCAAAATCGATCGGTTAACTAAATTAATCAAAACTATTCAAAATTTAATATATTACATATATTATTTATATATTTGAGTGTTTGAACTTCGGTTTTAACCGAATTAGTCAAAAATATAAATATTTAATATATAATATAAATATTTATAAATTTTGGTTAATTCGGTTAACCAACCGATTAACCGAACTTTATTCGTTTTAGTTTGTAACACCCCAAAAATCGGGTTAGTAGTTTCGGGTATAATGTTTGGGTTTAGAGTGCTTTGATAAGCTTAATTTAAACAATTGTGTTAAGTGTGAGTTGGATTCGACTTGAGGTAAAGCTCACAAAGTGTTAAAAAGAGTATTTTTAAATTGGGGTCAAAATATGGAGGACCAAGGGAACAATTTGGCCATAGTTTGAATCAAATACTGATTTCCCTTAATCGTGTCTAGGAAATGGAAGCCTTCTTCCTCTTAATCTTTTCCTTCTCTTATTTTTCTCAAAACCATTAAAAGTGAGAACTTTGTTGTTTCATGTTCCTAGCACGAGTTTGTGAAGGTAAAAAAGATAATCTCATCCCTTATAGCTTCAATTCTAGTCAAACATCTCAAGGTTTGGTCATGGTGGCCAAAAAGGGGGTTTGTAGAGGTTTTGAGTTTCAGGGCTCTATGAGACTCTAAATTCGACTCTAAGAGTTTTGAATCATGTCCTTACTCATTTAAGGTCTTTCCATGAGTTAGTAATCCTCTTATTTGATTTTGGTTAGTGAGAGAAATTAGTGAAAGCTCAAAGGGCAAGAATAAAGAGAAGTAGATGCTTGGGTGATCTTGTGAGCACCTTCCATCAACTAGTGTTAAAGTAACACATTCCTGACTCACCTGTACAACTTGTAGATCATACGTTGTGATTTTCTTGCTTGTTATGTTCATGGGTGCAAACATGGGTAATTGTGATTTTTGATGAGAAATGAAATATTTGATGTTTACATTGCTTTTGAATGACCTATAATAATGCCTTGAACTCCTATAAAGCTTAATAAACATTCACAAGTCTTAAAGGGACTTGTGAGGGTAGCTAGAGGAACATTTTCGTGCTTAGATAAAGCATTTATGGGTAGAGGTATCGGTACTAGATGAAAGTATATATATTGTTCTTCATGTAGCCTAAATAAAAGGGATTTTTGGGCTGGATATCGATACCCATTCTTATGGTATCAATACTGTACAATGAGTATCGATACTCTAAGGTTGGTATCGATGCTAGGATTACAATTTTTTTGTATTGGTACTCATGGGAGTATTGATACCTAGGGTAGAGTATCGATACTCTAAGTAAGGGTATTGATAATAGGATTATTTTTGAAACATCAAGGTTATTTTTGGTATCGATACTTGGGGAAGTATCGATACTCTCAGGTAGGATTATCGATACTGAGTAATTTTCCAAAAACATTGAAGCTATTTTTGGTATCCATATTTGGGGTAGTATCGATACCCTACGGTCGGTATCGATACTTTTAGGCCATTATCGATACTATCGTTCTAGATTGGGTAGATAACTTAATTTTGTTTCAAGTACTCGAGAAGGGAATTAAGAGTCGATGAGACTTCTCTAGTAACACTACAAGTGAGAACAACTAATAACTATAATTGTAACAAGAACGATTTAAGTAAGGTGGCATAAAACTACCCTTTATTTGAAACTCGAAAAACAACGAGGACACTTGAGCTACTTGAATGTATGAACGTTCGTCGAGTAATTGTAAATAGAGATATCCAAATTTTTTCTTATTAGTGTTGAGGCACTTTAGTATCAGTGCAAATACACTTTTGTACTAATGTAGAGGCACTTTAGTATCAGTGAAAAGACACTTCCGTTATTTGATGGCAAGACCACAACATATGTATATACAGTAATACACTTACACATTGTGTTTATGCTTGATACTTGTTATGAACTATGCTTGATGCATTTCATTGATGCATGACTGAACTTGTTAGCATTCACATCTAACAGATGGATGTAGTATAGTAGAGTTATCTATCTGGCACCAAACTCGTAGCTCAGCTTTTGAAATTCATTTTTGTTCATAGGTAAGTAGGTGTCGGTCAGGGAGCTTATCCCCAGATTGTGGATTCTAATTCAACAAGTCGTAGAGTACGTCTCAGTTATTTTAGTGGGCATGTATATCATAGACTTTTTCTTGTTTAATTTGATTCGTAACACTTTTGAGAAACTTGATGTATTTTGAGGATTTGTTTTTGGGAACTCCCCCATTTGTAAACTTACCTATTATGTTTTGAATTTGCAACTTCAATGTCCAATGTAATATCCAACCCATCTAGACTTCAGGTTGGGTTAGATTTGGGTGTTACATTTAGTGGTATCAAAGTGTCAGGTTTAGTTTTTCTTAGGACCTGCAGGTTAGAGTCAATGATGTACATGCCCCTAGAGTGTCAGAGTACTTGATTATCTGAAATGGAAATAATAACTTCTCTTTTTCTTTGAATTCTATAGGATATGGTTGAGGATCCCGTGCCCA